GCATTTGACCTGGGTGTCAGAGGATGCGTAAGCATTATCAAGGTGAAGAATGGAGGAAGGAAATAAAGTATTTAAAAATATGAAGTTGTTCAAGTGCCTGATATTTCTGCACAATAGAGAAAAGTTTAAGGTGCCTGGAGAAGAAATAGATAAGTTTGGATGGTATATTGAGGCCAGTATGGGAAGGGGGGCAGACTTGTCATTTGGATTGTGATTTTAAAATGGAATCTTGTAAGTGAAATGACTGACTTCTATTTGAGGATGGTCTTGTGTGTTCAAACTTTGACACTCCAATCTTGAAACCTCTAGCAATGATAGATAAAGAGAAATGTAGAAAACCAAAAAGGGATAGTTAGGTTCGAAAACATGGTAACCATCTCTGTGGGTCAGAAATGAAAAGCAGCAAGAATAACTCAAGCTGTAGGCCTGATGGGATCTTGTCTGGAGGAGGGAAGTAATTTGCCTTCTGCCACCGGCTAAGGGGATGTAAAAAGTGCTGCACTAAATGGGGAGATCTGGGTTCATTCCTTGACGACAGTGGCAAATTCAGGTTTTTAGAACAATTTTTTAGTTTTACCTACATCCAAACTGAAGAAAATAGTATGAGAAAATATCTTATTGGGTTCTGGGTATTTGTGATGATAACAAGTTATAATTCCCCTGTTGAAACACTGTCTCATAACACGCTCATCTGGTTGCTTGCTTTTTTTCATTTATCTAGTGAAAAAAACCACATATGAGGTCTTTTTGAAACTGACTAGTTTGTGGGTTCCACTCCCTGTTGTGAGGAGTTAAATGTATCTTAGACTCACTAAAGTTCTCAAAGATTGTTTTCATTCTCTCACATAAACCAATATAAGTTTCAAATTCATGTATGTCAAATGAAACCGAAACTTCCCGTAATTTGTTATTTCTATAAGATGCAGTCTATTTGGTCAGAGGAAACAGTTGAACAGTTAATAATGTGCTTTAGGAGAAGTACTCTCAGAGCAGGTTGACTTCAATACCTAAGTTCCCCTCCCCTCTTCAAAAAAAGACCTTTCCCTTATGAGTAGGGACATGTGGTATTTCTCTTTCTGTATCTGGCTTATTTCACTTAACGTAATTTTCTTCCAGTTCATCCATGTTGCTGCAAATGGCAGAATTTCATTCTTTTTTATGGCTGAGTAGTATTCCATTGTGTATATATACCACATTTTCCTTATCCAGTCAAAATAAGAAAGGAAGAAACACAGAAAGAAAAACCGCAATAAGACACTGAACTTCTGAACTTTCAGAAGGAGAGAACAGACCTATAGTTACCAGGGAAATGGGAAGGATTTTCCTTATCCAGTCAAAATAAGAAAGGAAGAAACACAGAAAGAAAAACCGCAATAAGACTCTGAACTTCTGAACTTTCAGAAGGAGAGAACAGACCTATAGTTACCAGGGAAATGGGAAGGGGGATTAGGGAGTAATTGGGTTAAGGACACAAAGAGTTATTATGATTTATAATGATGAACATGCTAATAATATTGATTTGAAAATCATACTGTACACAAATACTGATAGTCAACTCTGTACCCCATAAATATGTATAATCAAAAATAAATACATAATTTTTTAAGGAGGGAATAAAAAAGACCTTTCTTGGAGTTAGGTGCCCACTCTGAGATACTGTCCTCATCTCAGCTGAGGCACAGGAACCTAGCATTGCCCAAGGGCTGGTCTTGGCTCAAACTGAGTCACAGCCCACACTTTGATTTGCAGCTTTCCCTGGAAGCAGCCCTGAGATTTGGTGATGGAGCTGCAGAGCCCCAGTCTCACTGGGCTCACAGGGATGGATGGAGGGACTCACTGGTACCCAGTCAGGGGTGATGGAATGAGCCCACAGTGGTCCTCTAGGGACTTCCCTGTGGCTTGTTCTTTTTTGTTTGAATGTATGTAATTTCACTTTATTCATCTGGGGCCTGAGCACTCTAGAAATGACTGTCTACAGATCCCATTTTCTCCCTATCCACTTGGGTCTTAATTTATTTTAAGTGCTCCCTGGGGACTCCAGGAGCCCAGATTTCCTAAATCTTACATAGCATCTAAATTCACTTCCTCTCTTCTTGGCCTTTAGTTTTCTCTCTCAACCAAGTTTTAGCAACCCAAATGACATATATATTTGGGAAAAAATATTTTGTCAACAGGCACTCATCGGGTTTTACTGATCTCAAGTAATTGCTATATCAAAAAAGACACCAGGAGACTATTTGAAGGAATGGTAGGAATCTTAGACTAAGAGGCAGGTGGCGTGGAAGATATTTGTAAAGTGGAGCTGAAACCCTGTCCTTTTCATGATAACATGCCTAGATTTTAGTGACATGCAATTATTGTAATGTGTCTATCTTTGCTTAAAATTTAGGGTAATTATGGCATCTGTTAACGTTCTTTTTTCATATGGATGATTAGTTTTTTTGGAGATATAATTTTATTCTAATATTTATAAAATAAAAAGTGTAGTATTTTCCAGGATACATATTCACCAGGAAATATAATTTAAACAGTTTAGCTTCATTGTGATTGCTGAAGGAAGCACAAGTCATACTTATAAAAATTAATATGAATTTTTTTGTTTATTAGATATTAAGTATTTGTTTATATCTCAATAATATATTACATATACTCATAGAAGGTAATGTTTAATTTTTCACAAATACATCTTGTCAAATTTTAATGAGACTTACAGAATTGGAATTATAATAAATATCTCTATTTTACAAACGAGGAAGTGGTTCAGAGAGTGACTTTTACCTGAGTAGCACAACTGCTGATTATGACACCTATGAATTTATTCCAGCCTCTGGATGTAAAAATCCTACCCTATTTTCACCATATCATATTCCTTCTTCAAACATATAGTAGAACCATATATAATAGCAATCAGATCAACAGTTAGATGTGCAGAATACAAGCCAGGCACATTTAGAATAACATAAAACACTGTAATAAGATAACATACCAACTTTTAGAACTGTTATTACATTGTGTACTTTTTCCCCCAAATTCTCTATCTGTAAACTTAAAAGGGTAAATCATTTAAACTTGAGTAAATTCAGCTTAGTTATTGAAAAGTGAAACTTCTTTAGGCTAAAACTCTCTCTACACATACACACACACAGCCATTTGAAAGCATTGTTTTGTTTGTTTCTTATTTTCCCTGGTAGTCTGATTTTACATAAATTATTTAAAATGTATTGTGAAAAAAATGTGTATTTCAGATATATTGTCTTATGTCTAATCTGAATATTTGAAGAGAGAGTACAAAATTATAGTTGGTAACTAATATATGTTCCAAAAACATGTGAGAAATGTTCAGAGACACTTGAAGACAGAATAATAAATTTAAATTAGGCTGTAAATAAGAATTCCTGATAAGAAGTGTTGCTAGTTACTAAGATCTCACCAAAAAAGATTGTGGAATTTATTTTTCTGGGATGATTAATTCATGTGGTTTAGGTATAACCCTATGTGGTAACAGGACTATGAATTTAGCAGTCCAATTTGAATCTGTAATATTTTGAGATTGCAATAATTATTTTCCAGTAATTATATTTCCAATAATAATTTTTGAATAATCATTGTTATTTAGAAATTGCAAGAAAAGAAGCAGGATATATTTTTCCTTTTCTCACAAAAATATAAAAGGGGAAATATTTTATGATTTTTTAAAAGTTCAGTGAACATGGTGCTTTCATAGCTAGAGTAGTGAAGGAACTGCCTGTGGGTGGAAACAGGAAACATTAGTGATAAATGCTCTGTTACCTTCTTTTTTTCAGGTTCAGCTCAATGTATATTGATTCTAATTAGCACATTTTGTGCCTCAGCTAGTAGCTCCCCTTCAGCTCTGCTTGGAGAGTTTTTTTTAGATTCCATCCTGCTCATAAACACTGCCACCTCCTCTCTCCTCTCTTTACAAATGTTACAACACAATCAGAAATTTCCTCTTTTCTCTCCTTCCTGCATTTTCAGCAGGTTCCCTTGCGTCAGAAGCCGAGGAAGAAAACTCAAGGTAATTCGATGTCTTCTGTTTCTTTATTCCCTTTTTGTGTGGGTTTTCTCCTGGATGATTTCTTTGGGATCAGATTTTTGTTTGTCTTAATGTTAGTATCAGGAGGTGGATGGCAGATTAATTTTTGGTTATGTTTGGATTGATTTTAAGAAATAACGACATGCTGTTCATTTGGATTAATCCCTCGTGGTATGTCAATAGAGCTTAGAAAAACTGGCACTGAGTCGGGAAGTAGCTGTGTTTTTAGGTGGGCATTAACCCTTGAACATCTATTGCATAACTACTGCTATTATTGTAGAGAGGAGCTGTGCCACTGCAGTGAGGGGACTGCCAGCCTCCTGGCTTTAATTTTTAAAATTTTTCTTGGTGAATAATATTCTTAGACTAATACAGTATTTGCATATTAGTCTTACCGTTTCTTTGGCCACATCTCATACCTTCTAAGCATCAAGTGAATGTTAAAAATAGAACAAATACATGACATTCTTAGACTAATACAGTATTTGCATATTAGTCTTACCGTTTCTTTGGCCACATCTCATACTTTCTAAGCATCAAGTGAATGTTAAAAATAGAACAAATACATGACTTTTTTTTTTTGGCATTTACTTTGCATTAATCTTGGTGAAAAATCCAACTCCCAGGAGGTAAACAATTACAAGTTGCCTTTCACTCTGTCATGTAAGTCGGGGTCATACTTTACTTACCTCCTCATGTAATTGTTGCAGGGTTTTTCACCATGAGTCGGAGGAGGATATCGTGTAAAGATCTGGGACATGCTGACTGTCAAGGGTGGCTGTATAAGAAAAAGGAAAAGGGAACTTTCCTAAGCAACAAATGGAAAAAGTTCTGGGTGGTGCTGAAGGGGTCCTCGCTGTACTGGTATAGCAATCAAATGGTAAGTCCTTTTTCTTTCTCCTGTTCCCAGCCTTGTTAATCAAGGGTAGAGTAAAGATCATGGATCAGGTGATCTCTGTGGGGAAGTTAATTGGATTTCTGGGACTTGGAACAGAGCAAATAAACAAATAAGTTATAGAAATTGTTCCTGGTTCAGTAGATGTGTAGGTTATTTATTTTATTGTGTTTTATGGAGGAGAAAACTATCCTGCTTGACTACTCTTTAGTTGGGGAGGGAAGGGATGTCCAAACCTATATCCTTGCTAAAGGATGCTTTCAGGGTCTATTAATGTCACTATTCCAGGAGAGATTCTGATAGTTTCAGGATTTACGTGGGTATCACTTAATATGGGAACTTTACATTGCTAAGGTCTCTACTAAAAAGGGACTCAGCTTTATGACCTATTAAGGGTACAAATTGATTCAGTTGAGAGAAGCTACTTCCATGTCTCCTACTTTACTGTTGTCTTCCCCTTTTCCTTGGACCTTCTTTACTAGGTGGGTTGGCTTGGAATCACTCACGTGTGTGCCAGCTTTGTGTTGGTGACTGTTGTCCCTTGTTTCTGGTGTTTTCGGTGATGACATTAAATTAGTGATGCTTGGATGACCCTTGACAAGATAGTTGCCTAGTTTATCCTTTAATAGGCAGTCCACTGATGGGATCTGCCTCACAGGATAGTTTCCTGTTGAAAAGGGCTGGAAATAAAGTGATTGTTAGAATGTGTGCTGATCTTTCAACGCTTGAAATATTTTGAAAATAGTGCTGTTGTTGAATATTGAGCAGGGACTTTTTCAAGTAGGAACTCTCTCCACTAACGCTGGATGTCCTTTAGTCAATTAAGAGACAAGTACTTAGGAATTGCTCATAAACTAGAAAAATTCATTTTATGTGACACTATTCTTTTAAAATGACTTATGGATGCCCATCACTCAAGCAACAGAGCTATAGAGCATGTACATTTATAAATGTCAAATAAGTGCTGGCTATTATTTGTGGGCCAGATTTTTAGTTGATAAATTTACATTCACTGGCCACTAATCAAAAATATGTGTTACCCACATGCCCCGAGCCACCTGTCCTTTGAAGATTTGGTT